CCCCTTTATCACCCAATTACTCTCAGCAGTTATGAATTCCCAGGAATCAAGTCCAAACCACTGGGAGAGAAGGACTCCTTCCATCCATCTTGCAAAGGCTAGGACAACTGTGATCCCACAACCCTCTCATAGGCCTTTGCTCTTTCCTTAAAACACTTTACAGTAAGCCCTAAAACCTCACAGCAAGCAAAGCCAAACAAACCTTATAGACAGACCTTCAAAGTAAAGCACAAAAACCCTTAAAGCAACCCGGCAAGCAACACTAAACAAGCCCAAAAGACAGCACACGGTAAAAGAGAATATGCAAGGTAAAACAGCTCCCGCCCCTTCAGCCAGCGCACAGGGCAGTTTGCTGCAATCACAACTTTTGACACAAGATGGTAGTAATACCTCAAAAATACACCACAGCTTCACTTCGCACCAAGGCGCGGCTCAGGCACAGACACAAGCAAACAACACACATCCGAACTTTTATGATGCACGCACACACAACCAAAATAGAAGCAATCAAACAGGAATTCGCTCAGTCCCCAAGGACCGCTAGCGAATCCCTTCCCCTGCTGGACACACATCAGACCAACAGGTGATTGCAAGCTCAAACCCACCAGGACCTTTCCTGTGCGGTCAGATCTCTCTCAGCGGCTTATCAGTGGTCCCTACAGGGGGTCCTTATCAGTGGTCCCTACAGGAGGCCCCTTTTTAAGAGAAATACCATTCCTCCACTGCTCAGGAGGTCATTGTTTGTCCCCAGAGTGAGCGATCCAAGAAGCCAAATCCCTTCCAGGGAAAATCCTGGGAAGGCATCTTAGGAAGTCCGCCACTCAGTCAGTCCTATGGCTGGCAGAGAATGTCACATCTTGGTCGCCAAAATGATATGCAGAAAGTCTCTAAAACTCAAAATGAGTTATAAAGTAGGTAAGTATTTTCAGCCAGACACATGTAAGATTCCTCTGCAAAGGCATGCGGATCTACCTGCTCTCAGTGTTCTTTTTTATTCTTTAAAATGTTACATATACATTAGATTTTGCAATACATTTATGCATATTAATTTCCTGCCTCCACCTTGTCCTGCTTTGTATGCAAATTAAATTATCGGCCATTGCGCCTGCATACTTGTCTCTGGTAGTCCTCTTTGGGGTCCTTGGGGGTCGCAGGGGGATGAAGCAAATAGTCTTCATCAGAGTTGACATTCTCAACCCCTCTTCTTGTTCATTCTTACTGATCCTTTGGTCACTGTCCAAACCATGAGGTTGGTTTGATCTGCTTCGGGGGTCCATATGTAATAAGGAACATGGGCCAACAGCAATTGTTGTTTAATCCAGAGTGGTCTCTCAAGCGTGTTGAATTACTAATGCAAACTAATATCCCTGAAGCCCAACCAGCCTGCACTTCTTTCCTAAAGCCATCCTTTGAGGGTTGGATGACATGGTTGCAAGGGCCAGCACACACCAGGGGCAGAGTGCAAAGGGATCTGACTGGAATATTAGGGACAGGGCTGGGAGTTCTAAACAGAATTGGTTCAGAAATATTAATGAATAAATTGACCACTGCTACAAGTAGGCTAACAAAATTAAAACATCCCAGACAATCATCTTTGTTGGCATTGGGAACCAGTCAGTGGCAGGTTTCAAAAGTGTTACCCAGTTGGGAAAAAGCTAAAGACAAAGACCATGGGTTAATCATAGATGCACTTGCTATGGCTCAGTGATATATCTTTGGTTTTTAGCTGTATTCAGGCACAATTATAGTTGCAATCAACAGCTGCCTTAATTATAAGAGAAGGAAGTGAAGGAGCCTTTCCAACTGAAATTCCAAAAGCTGTCTGGGTAAATTTTATTTATGATCCTATTGCTAGCATGGCTACTGCCTTTGTACTCACTATAAGCAATGTCACAGTTTATGTTATTCCCCCCATTAGAGCATTAGGATTCAATCAAGAGAGCTCTATACTTTGGAATAGAGCACATGGACATGGAGAGGGGATGAGAAATGACAAATTGTGAATCTAGAATCCTGTGTTACCTGGAAACAACAAGGGTTTATTTGTAAAACCAACATAATTGATGCACAATTGATGTCTTGATACTGAGCAAAGCATTTGTCATTTCGAGTTTCACCCAGTTACTAGTCAAAAAATATATACTTCTATATATTGGTAAGGGCTGTGTGTGTTTGAGGACTTTGTGTGCTTTCATAGAAATAGACAAAGATAATATAACTTTACTCAGTAATAATCATTCTAACTTTTATGTTTGTCATTTTGTTAAGATTGTTGGATGTGACTTTCTGTATTTAGCACCAGTTGTATCCCGCCAGCTAATTAGGTCTAACAACACAATGTATTGTGTAACAAGTTGTTACCTATATCTGTTAGAAAAAGTCTACAACTGTTGGGAAGAAACCAAACAGTTTATTAACAGCAGAATGCCTACAAAGCAAGAAAAAAGGCCAGTAACTTCTAGATATCAAACTGCCAGACCTCACCGTCCCCCCACTGGAACAAAGACCCAAAATACCAGAGGATAATCCCCCCATGACACGTGTTACAAGTTGGTGCCGGGTTTTCTCTCGGGAAGATCAGGAGCAAGCACGGAGTATTTCTATGATAGCAGATGAAAGTTCAGTGGCTCATCTAGTATCGACTTTCTCCCAATGGCAGAGCTCCATGGAACATTTATGGCAGGTGAAACAGCTAGGCTGGATCCCCTCTGTGTCTTTTCTCCTGGGTGTGGCTCAGTGCACAGACTCTCGGGCTGGGAGTGGGGCTGCTCTGCTTCTGTTGGCATAATGTCCATGGGCTTGGACAAACAGTTTTCTGCTAGGAGAGCCCTGCAGACTATTCTACATATCTCTCATAAAGGCCCAAACCAACTCCAAACACTCCAGCTACAGCAGCTATTCAAAGAGCTGCAGAAATCCAGGACAGCTGAAAGTGAAAGTCAGAAGGCTTTTGTCTTGTTCCTGTCAGCAGATTTCTTGATGAGCTGATGCAATTTTATTCAGATACAACATAGGATCTGAGTTTTTTTATTAAAATATTTCATGATGAGAGACAAGCCTTGGGAGCACGAGGTACAGGACTGACATGCGAAACCATGAGCATATCCTCCAAAGTGACCAATTTAATTGTCCATTTTACTACACTTGTATTTATTCCACACTAACAAGCAAAATCAAGCTTTGCTTGGAGATAAAACAGGCATGGGATACACTACGGTCCCTGGCAGGGTCACCAGGGCTGGCAGTGACAAAGCAGGCAGTCTGCTTCATTCTGAAGCACTACAGCACTACATCCCAATGTGTTTTTAAGTAGCACTGTATTATTAAGAGCTCCTTTTCTGCATGAGACACAAAAAGGAGATCCCAAATGACCTTCATGCAAGCATGAAGTAAAGAGCTGATCCTGCTATCCTAATGAAGCTTTGGCTTTGGCAATTACACTCTTCCCACCCATCTTTTGACACAGACACTTCAGGTTTTCCCCACATCCTTGCAAGACTGGCAGTTGCTCTTTCCCATTTACTGTTCTTCCCTAGAGCCAGTACAGCGGCTGCTTTGAGACAAAAAAGCCCTGAGATCTGGATATCTTGAAGGATCATGAAATGCTAATTAAGTGTTCAAATTGGTTATACCCAGGTCTGCGCTTCCCAGAGCTCTGAAGCAGCAACAGGAGGACCAGGCATCATTCCTGTTTGTGGATGTTCATCTTTCTGGTGTGCAAGAGCAATGGCTTTGAGGAGGAACAAGAATGCCCCTATTCAAACAGTGGCTGTGCAAGGAGATGTGAAGTTTCTTCTGCCTTTTCTAGGATATTTTAGAAATATCTAAGAGAATATTGCAGCATGGAGCAGCTCCCTGATTTTGTCTCCAGAGAAATCCCCAAAGGACACATTCACTCTGCTGCTGATGGCAACCCCATAAACTCATGGACTAGTTTTCCCTGCAACATGCCACCCTGCCTGGGCTTTACTAGGCCAGGACTAGACCCATAGCTAAGCAAACACATGCAGCCATTTGACATGAGTTTTTCCTTCAGAAAACCTAATTAACACATTCACATGCAGTTTCTTCTGTCACATCAGAAGCCAGCAACCATGAGGACTTTGCTGTCAAAAAGTTACAGTGTGCACTGGGCCCAGAAGTGTATTTCCTAAAGGAAAAGCAAACTGAAATGTGAAGTTTAAAAACTTCAAATGACTATGAAAGGAAACTGTGGAATAATTTCTGGAAAGGCAGAATTGTCAATGATCATGCAATCCACCAGGAGCTGGAGCTGAATCCAGAATTGCTTGTTCCAGCTATGCAGGAATTCCTTATCCTGGCAAGCACTGGTCTATGGTAACAAATGACCCCTCAACTCTGGGCTGAATGGCACTCAGGCTAAAGTGTTAATAGATTTGAGGAACCCTTGTCACTTGTTATTGTCCTCACAGTCCACTCATCCTTCTGCAAACAACAAGTTGCAAACAACACAGTTAGACTGCTATCCTTGGTAAATATACATACAGATGACTTCTCCAAAGCAGTTCATCTTTTCCCAGTGAAATACACAACCTCTTCTTACCCATGAAATTGTGATTGAAGACACCTGGGAGCCAGATTTGTGTGAGATTGCAAAGGAGCAAAGTTGGCATTTGGGCACACTTCTCTTGGTTTCTTTGCTCAGGCCTTTGGTGAGCACAGAATACATCCAGGTAGAAAACTTTTGACTGTACAGGATCTTTTGGGTCCATTGTCTACCAAACATGTCAATGGTGTTTCTGTTGTAATACCAAGCAACAAACAGTAAACATGGCAAATGAGGAAGAGGAGCAGCACAATGAGGAAAGGATGTGGTGAGACACTGGCACATTGAGTGAGCTGCACTCCCATAACCTCTAGGCTACAGGTCCTGGTATCACATTCTCCTTTTGGTTTATCTACATTTTATTTAGTTAGGTTTTTTTAAATCATCAAAATAAAATATATCCAATTTAAAAGATGCCATCAAAATGTAAAGATACAATCAAAACATATTTATTCAAAACTATGAGAACATATGTACATCTGTAACTATTCTAAAAATGTTCTATAAAATTCTATAGAATTCTAAAAATGCTATAAATCCTATTCTTGAAACATCCTTCACATGGTCAGTAGCTTCTTTCTGAGCTTGGATGAAAGAGAGCTCTTCTGCATTGGAGCCAAGGACTTTGAGGGTAAGGGAACATAGGAAGTGTCCAGAGAAATATTCTGGGTAAGAGGGTAGCCAGTCAGACCTGCAATGTGGAGACACAAAGTGTAACAGAGGCTGCAATGCAAACACAAAGCATCAAAAGCTCCATATTTCATGGGACACATTTCCTGGAAACTTCTGAACTGCTGCACATGGAAGCATGCTCCTGCTGGCAGCCCCTTGGAGCAGCCCACGGGGAAAACCCTGACCCACTTCCACAGAGCTGCCACAGGAGCAGCCTGGCCTCTGGGCTGCCCTGGGACAGCAGGAGCCCAGAGCCCTGTGCTCCCCAGGAATGGCTCAGCTGCACATGCAGCCTCCTGCTCCTCTCCCTGCCCCACAGCTGAGCAGCCCTACAGCTCCAGGGGCACTGGGAGAGCACAGCTCATTGCAGGGACACATGGGGGCACAGCTGTCCCTGGCAATGTGCACAGGCTCTCTGGGCTGCCACAGGACCCTTCCTCCTGCCAGAGAGCGGCCCAGCTCCCTGCTTGGCTCTGTGTGAGGCTCACCTTGTCCTCCCTGGCAGTGACCCTGGGGCCAGCGCTGCTCGGTGGCCTCTGCTCGGGGGGCTCCTGGGCCAAGGTCCCCTGAGCTGGCCGGGAGCTGAGACCTCCATTGCCAAGGCCGGGGTTCAGCACATGAGTCTCCAGGCCCAACGGGCCAGGAGTTTCCCTGGGAACAGAGGTATTCCAGGTCCTGTCTTTTCCTTCTTCCTCTGGGTTTTTGTTTAGACTCAGAAGAAGCTGTAGACCAGATACAAGAGAAGAAGAGAGTTAATTGAACTTATACCATTACAATCAGCCCTTCTAATGGGTGAGGAATGCAAAGTGTATTTTAGTTACTGAAAAGATTGGTTGGTTTTTTATTTTTCATGGAAATAGCATCAGTTTAATTTCTCTGAACAATATGGAGCTGGGAAGCCAAGAGAGAAGCGTTTTACACTTCATGTGTTGCCCCTTGCCTCCCCACTACTACAGGATTCCTTTCCTTCCAAACAGCTGGAACTTCACAGTGATCTCTAGAATCTGACACTGTCAAGGAAGTAATTGTTTTCAAAAGTAGTTTTCAAGGCCTTTGTTTCTATATATCACTCAATTCTAGGTCAGGTTTTGCAGTTTTGGATTTTTTTATATTACTGTTTACAATAAAGGAAGTGCTGGGACACAAACAATGGCTTTCTCCATTAGATGTGCCCAGTATTCTGTGAGCCTGTATTTGTAGGGAACAAAGTGGTCATGCAAAAGTTCCACTTTTGCCCTACTAACTTGTTCCAGAGGTTTATTCTCTGTGTTCTTTTCAGCAGACACCCAAACCCAACATAAACATGACCTGCCACAAAACATTTCTGATCTTGGCTAATACTGACAATTCCAAATTTCCTTAATGGAAATAGCAGAGGGCAGGTCATTCTGAAATACTCTCCAACAGAGCTGTTAACACTCAGAGAACTAATTCTTTACATAGCTTCACAGAGGATAAAATCATATGTCAGCCAAGCAGCACAAGAGTAATGCCTGTCTTAAGCCTGGATTCCTTCACTCTGTGGAATGCTTGGGTCAGTAATAAAAGTGAGACAGGTAAGGATTAATGACACAAGTCATTTCTAGTCTAGAATTATCCCAGAAAAAAATGTAACCTTACTTAGTGAGCAATACTTCTCCCTAGGTGCATTAAGCATTCCAGCTGCATATCAGCAAGTAGCCAATATTTGCCCATGCATATTCTCATGGGTGCAGAATTTAACACTCATGGATCACAGCATTCAAAGACCTGCAGGATCCAGACCCATGCAATAGAGTTCCCAAATGACACCACAACCATTACAGAGGGAATCTATAGCCAAGTCCAGCAGAGGACCAATGCTGAGGTGCTTTGAAGCCCTGCCTCCTCTTCCCCACCACCACCTCTGCTCTTGGGGCAGGGGTGTGGGGTTTGACAATGTGCTGGGTCATCATAGATGGGCAAACTGGTGAATACACAGAGGTTTGCCCAAATACATGGGAGAGCTGACTGTGCAAAACAACCACACGAGATGGGAAGAGAGAGGTGAACAGCACGCTGGAGCAGCAGACACCTTGGCTTACCTCTTCTCCCGGACTCCTGGAAGTCCAGCAGGGCAGCACTGCCAACAGGGGGACTTGCTGCCTTGTGTTTTGGGGGGGATCAAAGGCACTGCCAGTGACCCCTTCTTCTCTTCATATGCCCTTCACTGGAATGCACCAAGGAAGCCTGGAAAGAATAGAACAGAGTGCTCAGATCAAGCATCCAGCCCTGCCCCATTCCTGCCTCAAGACATTTAGATATGCCCTCAGCTGGGACCTGGCAGGAAAAGACAAGTCAAACTTATGGAGCAGCTTGGCCCAGGTTGGGGAATGGAAAGGGAACTGGTGAGGGAGAGACCATGTCACATATTTCTCAGCTCACTCATCATGCTCACAAATATGGAAGTGTGGCTACATTCCCAGCTGGCATTGACATCAAGATATTCTGGGGTGCCACTGCCTCCCCTGGCCTTTTGGATGGCATGAAAGTGGGTTTACATCATTATTCTCTCCCGGCCCCTACGGTACCTAACAGCCAGTGCTGATCTCCAGCCAAGTCCCCACAAAGCCATTCTGCAGGATGTCAAAACCTGCTTTTCTCAAGCCCCTCATTTCTTCTGCCACTGCCCTTCCCTCCTACACTTCCCCAGCAGCCTTTGAGCCCAGATGCTGCTGAGCTCTCAGGATGCTCGCTGCTCTCCATCCCCCACACATCCATCATCCCAGGCTCAGTGGCATTTAGGAAGTGCAGCAGAGCTCCCTGCCCTGCTGCTCTCTGCAAGGTCTCTGCCTGCCCAAGTTCCTCCAGGGCCCCCATGCCATGGCCCAGAAGGGGGGTGGAGGCAGCAGAGGCAGATGCACATCTTTCCTTAGTATCCCATCATTTCTGGCCCAGCTAAAGAGCCAAATCAGGACCTGTTCAAACTTCAGTGAAAGGGTCAGTTCCTGTCAGGGATACATTGGCCCCTTTCTCTGCATGGCTGAAATCAAGTACCTAAGCCTTTGATTGGACATTCTTTCTACCAAAGCTGTTGTTCATCTGCCTCCTCCTGCACCCCACAGCAAACCCAAAACAAGTGCAGGTCCTGGCCCTGCTGCAATGGCAATCGTGGGTCTGGGCTCTGGGCTGTTCTCCCCACGCCCACCTCCCACCCCTTCCCTCTGGACAAAGCCATGCCAGAGCACAAAGCTGCCCAGAAGCTGATGGACTCTCGGAATAGCAGCAGACACAACTGTGCAGAGGGCATGGCTGTACAACTCAGCTGGGACAGCCTGACTTTGCAGGACTGCTTGTTCCAGAAAAGACCTTTTTCCATCCACAGCAGACACAACTGACAGAAAACACCACCAAGACATAGAGATGGTTCATAGATACATGTAGGTTTCTAAATGGAGAATTGCTTGTCCAGTTTGGAAAACTTCAGCTGCTCTGACTGCTTGTTGGTGTTTTCTCAGCCATAGCACAGAGGAGGAACCATGACACAGCCCAGAAACCATTCAAAGACCTCTCCTGTTATTGATCCATGCTGGGGATATGAAATCTGCGCTACAAACCCATTGCAAAGGCAGCCTGAGGCAGTGTCCAGCTGAGCTCTTCCTTGGCTCACCTGCTTCCCTGGGCTCACACCACAGGAAAAGGTCTCAGAGATTCGTACAGAACATAAACTGAGAATCTAGCACACAGGATTTTGCTTTCTTTCCTGACCTTACATCCTTTTCCTGATGAGATCAATTCTTCCTCATTCCCACAGCTGTCATCAGAGGCAGTGTGATTTTCCCCACGTTTCTCCTTCTTGCAGATCTTGCTGGGCTCAGAAGAAAGAGAGCTCTTCTGGATAGGAGGCAAGAGCTTGGCACATAATGGGACATAGGGAATGTCCAGGAAAAAGGTTTTGGGATCACCACACTCAGTCAGGTCTGCAGAGTGAAGACACAAAATATAACAGAGACCACAATGCAAAGCTAAAGCATCTAAAGCTCCATATTTCATGGGACATGTTTTTCTGGGATCTTCTAAATAGCTGCACAGGGAAACATGCTCCTGTTTATTGCAGGGGACACATGCAGGGCACAGCTGTTCCCTGGCAATGTGCACAGGCTCTCTGGGGTGGCACAAGAGCTTTCCTCCCACCTTTCTCCCAGAGAGTGGCCCTGCTTCCCCCTCACCTCTGTGTGAGGCTGAGCCATGCCCAACCTTCACCTCGTCCTCACTGCCAAAGGCTGGGTTGTCTGCCTTGCATATAGGGGGGATTACAGGCAGTAGCAATGACCTCTTCTTCATATTCCCAACTCTGGAAGATACAGGCACCAAGGAAACCTGGAAACAGCCAAACACAGAGTTCAGATAAAGAATCCAGTTTGACCCCATTGATGCCTCAAGAAGTTTAGCCATGCTCTTAGCTGGGACTTGGGCAGGGATAGAGGAGTCAAACCGATGAAGCAGCTTGGGCTAGGATATGGAATAGAAAGAGAAATGGTAAGGGGCTGACTGAGATACACTTGACCAGAGTGGACAACTTTAGCTGCTCTGACTGCTTGTTGGTGTTTTCTCAGCCATAGCACAGAGGAGGAACCATGACACAGCCCAGAAACCATTCAAAGACCTCTCCTGTTATTGATCCATGCTGGGGATATGAAATCTGCGCTACAAACCCATTGCAAAGGCAGCCTGAGGCAGTGTCCAGCTGAGCTCTTCCTTGGCTCACCTGCTTCCCTGGGCTCACACCACAGGAAAAGGTCTCAGAGATTCGTACAGAACATAAACTGAGAATCTAGCACACAGGATTTTGCTTTCTTTCCTGACCTTACATCCTTTTCCTGATGAGATCAATTCTTCCTCATTCCCACAGCTGTCATCAGAGGCAGTGTGATTTTCCCCATGTTTCTCCTTATTCTTGCAGATCTTGCTGGGCTCAGAAGAAAGAGAGCTCTTCTGGATAGGAGGCAAGAGCTTGGCACATAATGGGACATGGGGAGTGTCCAGGAAAAAGGTTTTGGGATCACCACTCTCAGTCAGGTCTGCAGAGGGAAGACACAAAATATAACAGAGACCACAATGCAAAGCTAAAGCTCCATATTTCATGGGATATATTTTCTGGGATCTTCTAAATAGCTGCACAGGGAAACATACTCCTGCTTATTGCAGGGGGCACATGCAGGGCACTGCTGTTCCCTGGCAATGTGCACAGGCTCTCTGGGGTGGCACAAGAGCTTTCCTTCCACCTTTCTCCCAGAGAGTGGCCCTGCTTCCCCCTCACCTCTGTGTGAGGCTGAGCCATGCCCAACCTTCACCTCGTCCTCACTGCCAAAGGCTGGGTTGTCTGCCTTGCATATAGGGGGGGTTACAGGCAGTAGCAATGACCTCTTCTTCATATTCCCAACTCTGGAAGACACAGGCATCAAGGAAACCTGGAAACAGCCAAACACAGAGTTCAGATAAAGAATCCAGTTTGACCCCATTGATGCCTCAAGAAGTTTAGCCATGCTCTGAACTGGGAACTAGCAGAAACAACTGTGCAGAGGGCATGGCTGTACAACTCAGCTGGGACAGCCTGACTTTGCAGGACTGCTTGTTCAAGAAAAGACCTTTTTCCATCCACAGCAGACACAACTGACAGAAAACACCACCAAGACATAGAGATGGTTCATAGATACATGTAGGTTTCTAAATGGAGAAGAATTGCTTGTCCAGTTTGGAAAATTTCAGCTGCTCTGACTGCTTGCTGGTGTTTTCTCAGCCATAGCACAGAGGAGGAACCATGACACAGCCCAGAAACCATTCAAAGACCTCTCCTGTTATTGATCCATGCTGGGGATATGAAATCTGCACTACACACACATTGCAAAGGCAGCCTGAAGCACAGTATCCAGCTGAGCTCTTCCTTGGTTCACCTGCTTCCCTGGGCTCACACCACAGGAAAAGGTCTCCAAGCTGTGCCAGCAAGCACTTAAACTGAAAATTTATCATAGAGGACTTAGCTTGATCTCCTTACACTATGTCCTTTTCCCTCTGAACTTAGCTCCGGGGTTTTTCTATTGTCCTCATCATAGCTGGTGATATTTTTGCCATTCTCCTGCTCTCTGCTCAATATCTTGCTTGGCTTGATAGAAGGAGAGCTCTTCTGGATCGGAGGCAATGGCTTGGAGGGAAGGTGCATAGAGGGATTTGCCAGGGAAAACCTCTTGGCAATACTGTAGCCAGTCAGGCCTGCAAAGTGAAGACACAAAATATAACAGAGGATAAAATCCAAACACAAAGCATCAAAAGCTCCATATTTCATGGGACACATTTCCTGGAAACTTCTGAACTGCTGCACATGGAAGCATACTCCTGCTGGCAGCCACTTGGAGCAGCCCACGGGGAAAACCCTGACCCACTTCCACAGAGCTGCCACAGGAGCAGCCTGGCCTCTGGGCTGCCCTGGGACAGCAGGAGCCCAGAGCCCTGTGCTCTCCAGGAATGGCTCAGCTGCACATGCAGCCTCCTGCTCCTCTCCCTGCCCCACAGCTGAGCAGCCCTACAGCTCCAGGGGCACAGGGAGAGCACAGCTCATTGCAGGGGCACATGGGGGCACAGCTGTCCCTGGCAATGTGCACAGGCTCTCTGGGCTGCCACAGGACCCTTCCTCCTGCCAGAGAGCGGCCCAGCTCCCTGCTTGGCTCTGTGTGAGGCTGAGCCATGCTCTCAAGGGAAGTGAGTTGGGTGAACTCCCACATTTATCATCAACACATCTAATGGGGGAGGTACTCGAGGATTTTTTTAATTCCTGAGCAAATTTATTTGGTTTTATTTTTCAAGGAACTAGCCTGTGTTTAATTCCTCTGAGCAGTACTGTGTTAGCAAGTCTGAAGGGAAAGGTGGAAGGCTCCAATGGTAAGAGGGGAAAAAAAGATTCCTTCTTCAGGCTGGCCTTCTGTGAATCCACAGGAAAAACCCACACAGCTGTGACTGCTATTTCTGCAAACCACAAAGACCTCTCTGCAAGCAGACAGGCCTTATAATGTTTCTATAGCACTGTAATACCATCCTCAATGTTGGATCCCATCAGCAAGGAGAGGAAGAAGGGGAATTTTATCTGTCATGAGAGCCGACACTGATGGCAAAGAAAGTAACAGGACTTGCATTTCATGACCATGTCCAATTTGTGATCAGCTGTGGCCAAAGTCCCTGTCCTGGCTGACAGTGTGAGTGATTTGGCCACTGTCAAAAAGGAGAAAGCAGAGTAAACTAATGATAGAATGTTGTGATGCCATGGGTGTCCTTGCAGGATCATCTGTAGCTGTCAGCCACCTACTCTGAGACGGAGCCAGCACTGACCACCATGGACCAGTTTTCCCTGAAATCTGGGGGGATTTTTTTCCATTTGGCTTCAGCCTTTCAGCTTCTTTCTATCCTCACCTTTTCCTTCAGTTGTCTTTCCTTTTCCGGTAAAATCCATCTTTTAACCCGTGCTTCTGCCTCGCAGAAGTATCTGGGTTTGAATTTGGGATCACTCTCAGAGGTGGCAGCGATGGGAGTTTGGTACCCAGCCTTAGAACAAGCTCGGGTGACTCCAATCACCAGCGCTCGGCACAGAGAGGCAGAGCCAGACGCGTCTCCTGCCGCTGTGGCCGTGTCAAGCACAGCCTTCACAACCCCAGCGTGGGGCTGCCCCTTTGTGATGCAATGGCCCATGGTTCTCTTGTTTCCATGGCTTCAAAACCCCACCCCAACTCCATCCCATTCCATACCCTTTCCTAGTGCAGCTAGCCCTAAGCCCAGCCAGGCCAGGCCTGAGGGTTTCACACTATGTAGGAAGTAGACCCTTTCCAAAGCTAATTTTCAAGGCCTTTATTTCTGTATTTCCCCCTCAGTTCTGGGTTTCAGCTTGTTGGTATGGGATTTTGTTTATTTCTCTTCACATCAAACAAAGTGGTGGGACACGATCAATGGCACCAGGTGGTGGAAGTAAAAGAAGCTTTGCAATCCCCTGTGCCCAGAATTCAGTTGGCCAAGAGCTGTAGGGAACAAATTGACCATCCAAATGTTCTTATTTTGCTCTACTTCATTGTTCCAGGTTTTATTCCCTGCTTTCTTTATTGCAGAGACCCCCAAACCCAACATAAACATCATCTGCCTCAAAACATTTCTGATCCTTGCAGTTCTTCAATATTTTCCTAATGAAAGTGGCACAGGGCAGGTCATTCTAAAATACTCTCCAAGACAGAGGATGAAACTAATCCTGCTTGATTTGGTAGAACTAACCCTAAGCAAAGGGACCAGTAGTCTGATCCCTTTTTCTGCATCTGCAAAATTATTTCTTCAGGTCTCCTCTCTCCTATCTATTCAAAGAGGCTTTGCACTCTGCATTAGATGCCCCCAGAGGTCAGTGGGCTAATACAATCAGTGCATCTGTAGGGTGTAAATTTGCCATGCAGAGTTCTTCGTTGTGGCAGGGCTTTATTCCTGCTTGCCTTCCTGCAGACACACCCAAACACAACATTACAGCACCTGCCTCAAAACAATTCTCATTTTGACTGTCCCTGAAAAATCAAAACTATACTCAGAGTGTTTCCCTGTCCCAGGGCCAGGCCCCAAGGCTGGGCTCTCACCTGCACAGAATGAGGAAGAGCTGCTGCACTTGCCAGGGCTCCGAGGTCTGGCGATCAGCGCTTTGAATGCAGCTTTTGTACACTCTGCCCCCTGAGCCAGGCAGAATTCCTGGACATCGGCACGGCTGCTGCAGGCCAGCATCCTCCAGGCACAGCTGCAGGAACGGGATTGCAACAAGTCCTGGCTGAAGGAGCCTCCAGGCTGCTGCAGCCCTTCACCTGCAGTGGAATCATCTCGCACTGCCGTGGGGGAGCAATGGGAGTGATGCAGTTTGGGCTCTTTGCAGATGAGGATCTCCTCCATGTGCTGCTGCTCACTGAGCCTGACACAGCTGCTGGTGCCTTCCCCCACAGCTGTATCAGGAACCTGCCTGGAAAAATAACGCTGCCAGTGCCAGTGCCATCCATGGATCCCTGCCATGGCCCTGCCCTCAGGGCATCCTGCTTACCTGCTCCAGTCAGGTGATGTCAGACAACATCAAAATACATTCAAATGGTGCATTTTCCACATTCTGATAAAATCATGGCCATACCGTCCATATGTTGGAGGCAGACTGCTGTTGGCAGAATGGGGGAAGCCCCAGCAGCTGCTCTCCCCACAGCTGGATGGCCATGGCAGCAGAGACAAGGCTCCTACTGTGCCCACTGCTGTGGGATCCAGTGCTATGGAGCTGTTCCCACTGAACTCAGGCTGCTGCTACAGCAGCAACATCAATTCACACATTTGATAACAAACAGCTTGAATGCCACACAGGACTTGCCCCAAGAGCTACAAAAAAATTTTAAAAAAGGGGAGGGTGAAGAAGAGTTAGAATAGTTTTCTCCTTCTTAATACAAGCGTACCTGAATTGGAACAGGGACACTGGGAGAATCATACTGGGGACTGGTTTGTAAGACTTGTCTCTAGCAATTCCCACCAGTCTGAGAACATTTATCAGTACAACGTGTAGATAAGATTTTACAACACATCCATGAGCAAGTCTGAGCCAGAAGTGAAAGCACAAGACAAAATACTCCCAAATCTACCACCCATGTGGAAAGGAAGCAGAAGCCTGCTTTTATCCCATGGTCCAACCTTTCTGTACAAAAGCACCTCAGTTCAAACACACATCTCAAAATTAAGGAATAAAATGGCTTCAAGAGCATTTAAAGCCTGATTCCTATTACTTTCAAGGAGACATCAATGCTCAGTTCCTTAAAAAGACAAATGAAGGTCTATTTGGGACTGCATCCTTCAAAAGTAGGAATGGAGGTTTAGAACTGTTTCCATTGGAAAAGACCTTCAAGATCATAGAGTCCTTTCAATAACCTGAGACCACTGACACTGCCAAGGCCACCACTAAAGCATATCCCAGGACAGGATGTTATTGGCATTCTTGGCCACCTGGGCATACACTGGCTCACCTTCAGCCACTGCCAACCAGCACCCCCAGGTCCTTTTCTTCTGGGTGGCTTTCCATCCCCCAGCCCTTGTGTCCCTGGAGCTGGTGCTCCTCTGGATGCTGTTGTGCCCTTGCTTCCGCAGTGTCATGTGGCTCCTGGACTGGTTTGAGCTGCCCAATGCCTTCACTCTGGTCATGGAGCTTCTGGAGCGCTGTCAGGACCTCTGGTACTTCCTGGCCAAGTGGGGGTTCCTGACGGAGCCCGTGGCTGTTCTGCCAGGTGCTGGAGGCCGTGTGGCACCGCACCAGCCACGGCATCCTGCACCGCGACATCAAGGCCAAGAACGTTCTTGTCGACCTGGCCATCGGCAAGGCAAAGCTCATCGACTTCACGTGGCACAATCCTCCAGGACACGTTCTACACCCAGTCTGATGAGCCCAAAGCCAGGGTCCAGCTGGGCAGTGGAGGCTCCCCCTTTTGCTGGCACAGGGGGAAGAGGAAGGGAGGGAGGGGGAATCCTCCTTCAGCAGGCTGCAGCCAAGTTGCTTTTCGGCAGGGCAGGGGCTGCCTGTTGTGGGACAGGAACTGGGAGGGAGGGAGGGAGGGAGCAGCATCGGCCCGAAGAGCTGCACCCCTGTCCCATAGGAATGCCAGAGTGCAGCCCACAGGAGCGGGTCCTCTTCAGCTGCTACCATCACCAGACAGCCATCATCTGGTCCCTGAGCATCCTGCCCTATGAACTGGTCTGTGGGCACCTTCCTTTCCACACCAATGAGGACATCGTCCAGGGCTAGCTCTTCTTCCCGCCCCGGGTATCTCAAGGTGGGGATGCTCATTCAAGGCAGGGGAGGAAGAACAGGGTTGAGAGCAGCTGGCACATAAACATCCTGCTCTTGCAGCTAGTGAAGAGGTTGATCTCCTGGGCTTAGCTGGAGGAGGTGGCACATATGCCTCTGTGCTGCTCTCCTCCGGAAGGGAGGATCAATGGGAAGCTTTTGGGTGCAGCTCTGAGCACTCCTAGTGTGGCCTGGGAACCATTGAATCTGGGAGATCATGGACAGGAGCCTTGTCCTGCTGACCAGTGGTTTCTGGTTTGTCTCTGCAGAGTGCCAGCACCTCACCAGGTAGTGTTTATCCATAGAGCCCACAGACAGGCCATCCTTGGAGGACCTTTTTGAGCATTCTTGGCTGCAGGACTCCCACGTGGCCCAGGAGACAGCTGAGATCCATCCCTCTGCACAGCTGGATCCAGGAGCCCAGCAAGTACCAGCTGCACACATCTCGTGGCGCTGGAAGAAAACCCCAGAGAGTTTCCCTGCACCTGTATGAGGTGAGAATGGAGGAGAGAGTGCAGCCGAGATCCTTCCGCTGGTCCCCAGCAAGTTGTGGAGGGAGCGGCTCAGTGCTCCCTGTCCTATTGGAGAATGGGTGGCAGTGCGGTGAAGTTGCCACAGACTGGAAAAGAGGAAACATCCCCCTGGAGCTCCATGGCATCGTGATGTCCCTGCAAGCTGAGGCACAGCTGGTGTGTTCTTCTGGAGCACAATGTGGAGCTGGGAACACCATCCTCAAGCTGGTTGCTGGCAGGGTAAAGCCAATTGGCTTTGAATGCAGCCCCTTCCAGGAGGACACACTCTGTGCCCTGATGAAATCAAGATGAGTCCCCAGCTGGTGGAGGGGTGGGGAGATGCTCATGCTTCCAGGCATGGCAGGGCTCGGCCTGCCATGAGGTTCCCCACTTGGCAGCAGTGGGGAATATTTTTTCTGCCAGCCACCAAGCTGCTTTTTAGCAGGACAGGGCATGGATATTGCGGAAGGGAAGTTAACTCCTGGCCTTGCTGACAGCTTCTGCCAGCCAGCCTGGTGCAGGCCAGAGCAGGGGCTCATAACCTGACAAAAGCATCCATCCATGTGGATGGGGGGCAGCAGAGGGGGGTGGGCTCCAAAGCCATGCTCCAGCTGGTCTGCTTTGCAGGCCCCTGAGGAAGGGGTGGGTTTATAGGTAGGAAAGGTAGGGTTTTCTCCACTCATGGAGAGGTTTAATTTTCACATCAAGTGGTCAGACCCTCCCTAGACCCATGATATGGTGATAACCTTTGCCACTTTTGCTTGTTTCCAGGTCTTGTTTTGATTTGACCTTCATGCAATTGTTCCTTGCTTTTCCCAGGAAGATTACACCTGGTGCCGGAATTGGACGGGGAAGCACTTCCACCGTCCATGGAGTGTGTCCAGTGCCAGCGCTACCCCAGGGGCCCACGGTCTGCGGGGACATCCCCTTCAGGAAGGACAAGGGCCTCATGCAGGATCAGCTCCTCTCCTGGCAGCAGGTTTCCAGAGGTGGGTACCCAGCTCCACAGCTCGGCTGGCAGAAGGGCTTCAGGCAGACACAGCGGGCACACGGGCATCCCGCTCCTGCAGCTGCTGAGGAGGTTGCTGTGCTGTGCTTAAGTGGAGGAGGTCGAATGTGGCCTGCCACGCTGCTCTTCTCTAAAAACAGAGAATGGGTTTGGGCTCTGAGCACAGCCAGCAGCCTGGCCCAGGCACAGGCCATGGTGGGACGGGGGGACAGGAGCCTTCTGTGACTGACTGTGGCTCTCTGGTTTCTCTCTCCAGGCTACCAGCACCTCATGCTATGGAAATGGCACTGCCTTGCCTGCCAGTCTGAGAGGGCTGGAGAGCGGCAAGTGTTCATTTGCTGTCAAAAATAAATATTTTTTTGTTGTCATCGTCATCATCAGAGCGTTTCTTTCATCCCTTCATCCCCGGGGCAGCAGGGAGGGGCAGCACTGAAGGGCAGCACAGGGTGCATTTCCCCTGAGCAGGCAGGCAGGCAAGCGGCGGGGAAAGGCGCCCTGGGGAGAAGGGCAGGCAGAAAGGCCCCGGGTCTCTGGAATTCGGGTGGCCAATCTCTAATTGCTGTTTCCTTGAACCGCTGTCAGGGGCTGTGAGTTGCCAGGCTTTGGTAGATTATCCCCTTCAGCCACTTGTACAAATTAACCCAGATGCAAGTGTGACACCCACGCCCCTGTCCCTGTTAGCCCACAGGCTCCCAGAACACTCCCTTTGCTCCTTTCTTGGCCTCTGGGTAATACAGTGTATTGAGATTTTTTTATCTTCTTTGCCTTGGTGCTACAGAAAGGATCCTGGGTGTTGCTCCTGAGAGTGGAACCATGGATTTGTTAACTATAAAAAACTTTGTTTTTAGTGATAGCAGCTCAATAGACAAGGGCTGTCTGGAACAAGGGAGCCCCCCAGCTCGCTTGTTCCAGAAAAGCTATCTGGCATCTTGCGTAGTAACAAAATGTGTGGGCTTTCCACAGAGACAGTCTCTAGCCAGGAAAGAGATGCATGGCAGGGGAACCTTTTCACTGTGCTCTGGCTGAGTTCAGGCAAAAGGCCCAGCAGCTGTAAATGAGGTTGGCAGCACTGATCCCTTAGAACTTCCACTTTCCTGAATAACCAGCTCACCCCAGAATCTTGGGACCTCTATTCCATGACCCTGTGTAACTGTGCTGTATTCTTGGGAATGCAGACGACCTTGGTCTTCTGCAGAGAAAAATAAAAAATAAAATCACACCCCCAAAATTCAATCAGTATAAAGAGATATTTGAGTCTTCTGCATGTCAGGTGCAGGATGAACACTAAAAAGCATTGGGTTCTACTCTCCCAGGCCCAACATACCCAAAAGCCAAAGTAAGCTGTCAGCTCAGACACCAGGAGTCAAGGCAGATACACAACAGCCATAGAGAAAGAGAAGCAAGATTAAAAATGATCTGCCACAGCAGATTTTATTGCCATTGTTTGTATGCTGGTAATTTTTGCACAGCCATGATCATTTCCACTGCAAAAGGTGGTTATGTCCCCAAATCCTTCTATCCCAGACAAAACAGAGCTGGGGTCACTGCCATGAAAAACATGCTTTACCTCTAGAGTCAGCCAGAAGACAATTCCCTGTCCAGAACTGTCTGTTTTCAAGGTGGAAAAGTATCATCTGTTCCTCTGTAATTTAAAAACAGAAACCTGTTGCTGAAATCAATTTCTGTGGCTTTAATTGGTCACAGAGACAGCCCTTAAATATAATTGTGTTAGACCAGAAAACAGTCTCTATTTTTACCAGTAAATTATCAGTAAATAGATCAGAGCAGCTGTAACATTGAGAGACTAAGTGAGGAGATGGACACCTGCTTTTCTGTCTAGACCTTTCTGTGACTTGCCAGAGGGTTGCAAGAGCTACGAATGGCACTGGAACGTTTCCAAAAGCAGCTGCTGGAGATAGAAGGCAAACTGTGTTCATCCCCTCATTATATATATTGTTTTATCCACAGGGTAGGCAGAGGGTGAAACTCAGTCTTTTTCACTTCTTAATGGTAGAGACTATCCTGCAGAGGATGTGTTTTGTGCCACTTACAAATGATCCAAGGCACCTGGAAAGAAATTCTTGCTCATCTGCTTGACTCTAGAACAGCTATACACTTTCTACACAATGCTATCTCTATGTTGCCCACACACACCCTGCTTTCACTCCTTTTCTACTTGTGCAAGGTATGCACAAAGCAAAGAGCTGAACTATCCATAATCAACTAATGGTAATTAAATATTCCCACTCCTTATTCTCTGTTTGCATTGCACAGGAAAAAGTGTAAAGCATTGGGATGTCAGGATTTATAGGAGATGTGCAACTTACTGACATCCAAATGTTCTTCAACTTTGCTCTTTTTTGCAGTGGCAGTTTTCTGGTATTAACTAATTTCCTCTGAGCTACTGCTTAGAGGAAAGGAGCAAAGCCAAACAGCAATTTGGATCACAATCCATTTTGATCTCAAATTCCTTTGCCTTTCTTTGAAAGTTCAGAGAACTGAGAAAGTCCCAGCTGCTTGACAGGATAGAAGGTCTGACACCTACAGTGGAAAGCCAACCCATCACACCTACTTCTTCTACTGAAAATATGAATATAGAGATCAATGAAGACACTGGTTTTGGTAAAGGACAAGAAAAGTGTTTAAAGCATGATTACAAGTAAACAAAATTCAATTAAAGGCTTAACATTAGACTGTGCAAAACATACTTCTAGACAGATGGAGCTTTCCCTTTACAAAACTGGAAAAATCATGGTCTGTGTCTCCACCTTGGGGGAGAAGCACCACGAGCAGGTCTTACTGGCAAAACTGAGTGGGGAAACAAAAGCATACTGGCCCTTTGCAATAAATGGCAACAGGTAAAATTGACTTTGGATCTCTTTTAATGAAGCTACAAAGGCAATCTGACAAACAACCCATACATCACTCATGAACACACAAATATTTAGAAAAATTCAACAACTCTGCTTTTCTAAATGTAGCAATTGCCCCCAAGTTTGTCCCACAATCCCACTGATATCTGACCACTGATTGGTGAAGATCAACTTGTCTTAAGGGCCTTGCTAAGTTTCTGGGGTACCTCAGAAACTTCCTTCTTCCTGACATTTCAGGCACTGAGGAAACCAGTTCCAGTTCTGTGGGCTGAATCCCTCCCTGAGCCACAAGCCTGCTGCATATGAAGTAGAAAGCACTGTCACCACACACCAGTGCTGTTGCTGATGAAAATGCAAAGCTCAACTCAAGCTTGCAGTAAAGAGACAACTGCTGCAGCTAGCAGGCATAGTGGGTAGAAAGAAGAAATAGGGACTTCTCTGGATGGAAACTTTAAACTCTGGAAGGAAAATGTAAAATTTTGATTTCAATTTCAAGCTTTCTATGAGTAGCCTACTTAGTAAAGCACAGTATCCTTCTTTTCATAAGAAGTGCTCTTTCCAAGCCCTGCCTAGCTCTGTTCTTATCAGACTCAGGGTGCCACTGTATGGGCTGGGCACAGGCTGTGAGCTCCAAGAGCCAACGCTGGGACACTTGCAGAAGTGCAGTTTTACCCAGAGACTGAGGCTGACCAGCACAAGCTGTGTCCACTGCAGAACACCATGTGGGCAGCACAGCAGTACCACCTGCTCTCTTGGAACACCCCAAGTAGGCCTCTGAGCAGATGGGCATCCCAAGCACCACAGCTCAGCTGTGGAAATGAGGTTTGTATGGAAAGGACCTCAAGCATCATCTAGTTAAACCCCCTTGTCATGGGCAGGGACACCTTCCACAAACCCAGGTTGCTCATAGCCCCATCCAATCTGGCCTTCACATTTTCAGGGATGGGATATCCACAACTTTCTGTCTGCAGCACAGGTGTGAATTTATTGTGCTTCTGCATCTTCCTGGAAGTTCCAGTTAGCCTGGAACCTCCCTGGCAGCCATGGTCCCTAAGCCCATGCAAGCTGAGACAACAGGGATGCAGGTGAGGGAGTGCACCCATCTCTCATTTTCCCTGAGAGAGGAATTGGATGACAAATGTCCCAATGCACATTGCTCCTCACACAGACAGTGTTTGTGAGAGTGTTCATATGAATTAAACCATGGCTCTGTGTCCAATGGGACAACACACAGGGAAATTTCAGGTCAACAAGAAAAGGAAGTTCTATGTCCATAATATAAGAAATGCTTTCTTGATTAAAAGGAAAGTGTGTAATCTTGCTCAAAAGTAATTTTCTTCCTCCACACTGTTATTTCAGACTGCATGGAGACAACTTGTTTAAACAAGTGAGTGTACTTTTTCTGTCAGAAACATTAACTCTTGTCTGCTTCCCACTTGAAAATTACTTAAGGAAGCAGGTTGGGTTTTTTTTTTTTTAATCATTGCAATGGCAATAAAGTAGTCTCTATCTCCTAAAATACTAACATTCTGTCAAACCTTCAAACCTTCTGATCTTCGACTTCCCAGAAAGTCCACAAGGTGTCTACTTACCTTACGTAAAATGCATTTCAGTCAGAAGGATGGGATATTTAACAAAGCATGTATTCTTTACTGTATTATTCAGTCCCTAGAGACATTTAAAATAAATTTTTAAAAAACAAATGCAGCTGGTGTCCTCGGAGCAACTCTGAGATTTAAGACAACACACCTGCCTTTGAGAACATATCATACTTCAAGCAGCTTGTTTCCCATTGTGGTACCAGAATGTCTGCTTGCCAAAAAACTCCCCACAACTTTCCCAGTCCTACAGATCACCTACCCATTTCCCTCCTGCCTTTCCTGCCTCCAGTTAGGTGCACAAATTGTCCTTCTGGAAAAAGCAGTGTTGCTCCAATAAATTCAGGAATAAGTAGTCCCACTAGCAAATTCTTCTGTACAGCCCAAATGTAAGGAGAGCTTCAACTGGAATGTGGTCATGATAAAATGAATCCAGAAATAAAACACTGACTACATTAATTGCAATTTTGAAAGCATAGGAAAGACAAAGGCTGTTCTTCCCCTCTGTTCTATTCTGAGGTTGCTGGTCTGGAATGCTGCTATCACTTTTGAAAAGGCAAGAGGCACTTTTTCTAGTGTCCTGTGCAGCTTGTGGGTACCCACATGGCACTTAACTCTTTGGTAAATCAGCATGGCAGCAATGCACTGAGGATATGTAGGAAGTCCAGTCATGGGCTTTGTAGCTTCTTTTTGCAGCCACAGGTGCTGGTGCTGGGTTACCTAGGTGGCACATGAAGGGTCACAGGCTCACCCTCTCTGGGAAGTCCCAGGAGACATGGTGGCAGGAACAAATCCATATGAGGAAAGCCAAATGAGATATTAGAATAATGGGTAAAGTCAAGGAAGAATTATCAGACTAGCCACGTCCTTCTCATGTTCCTAGTAATGCATATGA